GCTCATTTGCCATTACGAAAATCCTAGAGCCATTAGGAATTATGTTACATCTATTCTATCTATGCTCTATAAGTGGAACAACAAAGCCTGGATGACAGCACATCTGTTTGCAGCATGGTTTACTGAATATTTAAGCCCACTGTTAAGACCTACTGCTCAGAAAACAATAACTCTTTCAAAATATTACTGCTCATTGACAATGCACCTGGTCAACCAAGAACTCCAATGGAGATGCTCAAGACTGATGCTGTTTTCACGCCTGTTAACACAATATCCATTCTACAACCCATGGATCAAGAAATTAATTTGACTTTTGAGTCTTATTATTTTAATAATAAGTCTAATTATTAAATTAATAATTGAATAATTAATTATTTAAATTAATTTTGAGTCTTATTATAAGGGTATATCTGACATAGATAGTGATTTCTCTCATGGATCTAGGTGAAGTAAATTGAAAACCTTCTGGAAAGGATTTAGCGTTCTAGATACCACCAAGAACATTCATAGTTCATGGGAGGAGGTCAAAATATCAACATGAACAGGAGTTTGGAAGAAATTGATTATAATCCTCATGGATGACTTTGGGAGGTTCTAGACTTCAATGGAAGAAGTAACTGAAGATGTGGTGGAAATAGCAAGAGAACTAGAATTGGAAGCGGAGCCTGAAGATGTGACTGAATTGCTGCAATCTCATAATAAAACTTTAATGGATGAGGAGTTTCTTCCATGGATGAGCAAAGAAAGTGGTTTCTTGAGATGAAATCTACTCCTGGTGAAGAAGCTGTGAACATTGTTGAACTGACAACAAGGAACTTAGAAAATTATGGAAACTTAGTTGATAAAACAGCAGCAGAGTTTGAGAGGATTGACTCCAATTTGGAAAGATGTTCTATTGTGAGTAAAATGCTATCAAACATCATCTCGTGCTACAGAGAAATCTTTTGTGAAAGTAAAAATCAATAACTGAGGCAAATTTCACTGTTGTCTTATTTTAAGAAACTGTCACAGCCACCCCAGCCTTTAGCAACCACCACCCTGATCAGTCAGCAGCCATCAACATCAAGGTAAGACCCTCCACCAGCAAAAAGATTATAACTTGCTAAAGGCTGATGATTGTTACCATTTTTAATCAATAAACTATTTTTAAATTAAGGTGTGTACACTGTTTTTTAGACATAATGCCATTGTACACTTAATAGACTACAGTATAATGTAAACGTAACTTTTGTATGCACTGGATAAATCAAAAAATTTGTGTGACTCACTTTATTGTGATATTTGCCTTATTGCAACGGTCTGCAACAAAACCCAGAACATCTTTAAATGTATCTTATCTATTGATTTTAGATTTTATTGTGATTTTTTTCTTTTTTTGTGACTGGTAAGGGGATCGCAACCCTTGGCTTAGGTGTCGCCCGCACCGTGCTCAGCCAGTGAGCGCACCGGCCATTCCTATATAGGATCTGAACCCGCGGTGGGAGCGTCGCTGGGCTCCCAGTGCTGCACTCTCCTGAGTGAGCCACGGGGTCGGCCCCAATTGTGATTTTTTTCTAATGGTTACTCTAGATGTTCCAACATGCATCATTACTCATTCATGTTCTACTGTGACGTAATAGTATATTATTGCACAAATGACGTTAGTTATTAAATCTTATAATGCCATTTGTCCACATACACTCTTTATATTCGATTGCATTATATGTTACTTAAACATATGCTGTAAACCCCATATTATATTGTTATTAATTTTGCTTTGAATAGTCAGTAGTCTTTTTAAAAAGAATTTCTCTTATGTTTACCTGTTCTGGCCAACATTTGTGTCATCTGTGAGTCTAATTCTGTTGACTATGTTTCTCTTCATTATTGTGCACATTTTATTGCTTCTTAGCATGTCTCATAATTTTCTATTACGTGCTGGACATTTTGTGAAAAAGAGCAATACAGAATGTAGCAAAGGATTTTTCCCCCAGAGAAGAGCTTGTCCTTCTCCGTATCAGGCCTCTAGGGTGGCATTTAAGTCAACCTAATCTGTAGTTGAGTGGGTCGGGGCTTTTTTGAAGATTTAGTTAGATTCACTTTGTCACTAGCTTCAAACGTGAGGAAAAGATAAGGAATATCACCTTAGCATGTCTTGGAATTTGCCCAATGGAGGACTCTCTATGCTTCTCATAGAGTATTTATGCAGCCAACTTTTTGGGTCATTGAGGAGTTCTTTTTTTCTCCAGTATTATCCACAAGTTTCTGCAAGTTGAAGGATAACTCTCCACCTTCACATCCTGTCCTTAGTTTTTGATGAGCTGTTGATTACACTCAGGGAAGACTTTGTGTACTTTGGAGGAATTTCTCTTGATTCTTCTGTCCTGCCCTTAGCCTTGGTAGGATGCTCCCATGGCCTTTGATTAAATTAAAATTAATAATAATTTTTTAAAATAAAAAGTTCCATAACAGTGTAGCAACAGCTCTACTTTGCCACATATTGCCTCTACCTTTACTGTAGAATTTTACGTGTAATTAGTCAATAAAAAATAGTTTGTATCCTACTTTAACCTAAAGCAAGGGTAAATTTCTCAGGTAAACTGTATTACTATGCCAGAGTTAAGTCCAGATTTATTTTAATCGAATAAAAGGATAGAGAGAACACATGTTTGATAATATTAACAAACAAGCTTATTATTGATTATACAACCCCCCCCNTTACACTCAGGGAAGACTTTGTGTACTTTGGAGGAATTTCTCTTGATTCTTCTGTCCTGCCCTTAGCCTTGGTAGGATGCTCCCATGGCCTTTGATTAAATTAAAATTAATAATAATTTTTTAAAATAAAAAGTTCCATAACAGTGTAGCAACAGCTCTACTTTGCCACATATTGCCTCTACCTTTACTGTAGAATTTTACATGTAATTAGTCAATAAAAAATAGTTTGTATCCTACTTTAACCTAAAGCAAGGGTAAATTTCTCAGGTAAACTGTATTACTATGCCAGAGTTAAGTCCAGATTTATTTTAATCGAATAAAAGGATAGAGAGAACACATGTTTGATAATATTAACAAACAAGCTTATTATTGATTATACAACCCCCCCCCTCAAAACATTATGGCTTCATATTAATGTGAAAACACCAAAAAAATGTATGCTGTTTCTTTTATCTGTAAAACTATGGTCAAAATTTCATTACTTGCAAACTCACACACCGATGTGGCAGAGATGCCAGAAGCGGACACCTGGTCCCATCGTATAAGGCTATTAAACATTTAAAGGGTAGGCAATATCTCATTTGCTTTTGGGTTTCTGGCATTGAGCACGGGGTGGATACAGAATAAACAACTTTGAGAGAACAGAAAAAATTCACAAATAACTTTTGACAGATAAAACATAGATATCTAAAGGATATAACCAGTCAAAATTCCATTGGTAAGTTTCATGATAATGAATAATTTCCCAAAAGCCATGAGCAGGATTTATCCCAGGGTCATCTAAGCCTTTTTGTCCTATTCAATAAACATGTCTTGGAAAAGGGAGCCTCCTGCCTTCTAGGTCTCTCTCAGTTGTCCTAGATGCCCCTTCTGTTCCCAAATACAGGAGATCAGGCAAAGAGGGGCGATGTCTCCCACGGGGCACTCTGATATTGCAATGATATGCCAGAGGAAGGGACTCTTCCTGGAGGTGGCCCTGCTGTCTATTATATCAGCTCTAACCCGCTGGCAGATGTGCCCAGGAGTGGGTCGATGTGTTTCCTGACAACGACTCCTCCTCCTGCACTCCCTGCCTGTCCCACCTTCACTCACTCACACCTTGGAAATCATTTTCCCTGGCCTACAAGAAAGAGCCACATCTGGTCTCCTGACACCCCTTCTCTGGCATTTTATTGTACTTACAGATCTCCACACATGCATTATTGCTAGAAAGTTCTCAGGACTTTTGCTCCTGCTGCTCTCTTTGTTGGGGATGCCCCTCCCATCCCCACCTCCATCCTCCATTGCCCTGGCTAAGTCTATAAGTCTACAAGCCTGAGCCCAACACAGGGATTTGAGGAAGAGTTTCAAGAGGAAATAATGCCTGAAGAAAATGCCCTTCATCTGAGCTTCCACACTGCCCAGCAAGTGTGCACGTCACGTTAGGTTTCACATAGTATGCTGTTCGTGTGCTCCCATTAGACTAGACTCTGGGATGCTGTAGGATGGAGGCCCTGACAGATCCATCTTTGTTTCTACTATTTCTGAACATAGTGATGAGTTCATAATAGGTGCTCAGTAAATATCTACCCAGCTAACTTAAGCTGAGACCGACTCATTCCTTTACAGCTCCATAGTCTGATAAAATGGTTGGCTGCTCTATACTCTGATAATATGGTGTCTCTCCCTCAGGGCAATTCCTTCAACTTGTCTGGGATCTGGGGCAGGGAAACTGAGGCCATAGCAGTTTCTAACGTCTGAATGCTTTTGATTCTTTTACTTCATTTTGGGAGAGGCAAGGTCATGACTCAGAATGTTTGCTTTAACTCCGTGATTTTTAGCTTGCTAATCTAGTGGGGTATCTCTAAGTCCAGTTAGTCTCTGTATAATACCACAGGACAGGAAAATGTTTATTTTATAGTTCTCTAACTAGTCAGATACTACCTCATACTTGATTCTAGAATAGGCAAAGGTACACTCGAAGACTTAGTAGTTATAAAAAACCTATAGGAAAAAAAGCTTTAATTGAAGTATTTCTGTGTATTAATTAATTTTTGTTTCATTTCAAATTGGAAAAGACAGCTGTTATCCAATTTTTGCCCGTCTCTCTCATGGGACGCCACTGTTGCATAGGAATGATATTTGAGAACTTCTGCTTCAGTTGAGCAAAATTATGGTACCACCTATTAGCAATAAATTATTTTAGTTCATGAAATTGTACACAAATTTTATTTTGACTAGTGTGTTTGCTTGCCTGAAATAGGCTCATAATCCTGCCTCAATGATTGAAGAAAATAACCATTCACCATATTTTTCCTTCTTAGGCTGCGAGGTTGAGATTCTTGGTGTCAGACCTACTTACTGCCTAGAATATAAAAATGTCCCAACGGATATCAATTTTGCCAATGCTGTCAGTGATGCTCTTGACTCATTAAAGTAAGTGTCCCAAATTCTTAGCCATAACATTGTTCTTTTCTGTTTCCAGGACCAATAATTGATCCTAAAGTGAATTAGAAAGGCTTGATGGAGGTGAAATCATGTCTCAGAGAGTTGGGGAGCTTCTTGCATGGTGACTGATAACCGAGAGCACAGAATAATTGGGAGCAAGTAATGTCGGGCAGGGGCAATCATTGGAAATGTTGGATTGATAGCAAGAAAGATCCTGGGGGTTTAGGACCTCCTTTTTTATGATGTCAGACAATGGAGAAGCAATATAAATAATCAGCATTTCCCTAATCATGATTTAGTGAACAATTATGTCTCAGAAGATATTAATAAGTATTTGACAGAAAGGGAGGATCTGTGGTCAAGTAAATTTCGGAAAACTGCCTACCCTACTCCCTTCTTGGAAATGTACAAAGCTCATTAGCATATTAGAACAAAGAATCTTTTTTTTTTCCTGTCCCACATGGAACTACACACAGAGTTTCAAACATGCAGAAATCAATAATGCTATCCTGAATAGCACACGAGAGTCAGTCAGAGAAACCAAGCAACCAGACAGGTGAGGACAAAGCCTCAAGTCAGTCACAGAAATCACTGGAAGTGAAAGTCAGGTGGGAGACCAGGTGAGAGTTTGCATTAGAAATCAGCAACTGGGCTGGTCTGTTAGCTCAGTTGTTTGGAGTGTGGTGTTATAACACCAAGGTCAAGGGTTTGGATTTCCATACTGGCCAGCTGCCAAAAAAAAAAAAAAAGAAATCAGCAACCAGGAGGCTAAGGATGGTGGAGGCTCTTAAGTGTCCAGGAATTGACTTGAGGTCATCTTGGCTGCCGAATGAGTTTCCTGGGTGGGATCAGGCAGAGGACCCCCACTAATCAGTGTAGAGACCAGGGTAGGACCTTCATCTTTCCAAGAAAAGAAGCCTAGTTTCAAGCTGGGCACACCCAAGAGCCAGCACACCCTAAGCTCAGTATACAGATCACTAGCACTAACCACATGAATTGGCCTGTAACTTAGATTGCCTCAGACACAGAGCTGGCTAATTATGAATTTTATTCTTACCACTACCACCTTTTCCCCATCACAGTGAGCAACCATCACCCCCACAGAACTACAAAAGGAGAAAACAACCCCCCTCCCTTCACTGCTTCTTAGAATGATTCCATTTCCATAAAACCTATTAAGAGGGTCCTTTGGGCCATGCTCTGATTGACAGGTTGGAGGGAACATAGATTTTAAATACTTAAAAATTGAGAAGTAACAAATTAAAAAGTTAAGATTTGGTGGGGCAGAATCTGGGAGAATAACCCTTGAGTAAATATTCTTCACATGGCTTGTAAATCATGTGTGTTATGTGATCCTGTCTCCTACCTACTCTGCTTTCTTTTTCTTACCCACAAGTGCTGGAAAACCACATCCATGTTGGGCTGGGATATTGTGTTGCAGAATAGTTTGTGCAAGCACAGCAGAATCGCACAGCATGCACGGCAGATGAGCCGAGCTGGAACTTTGGAATGGCTCTGGATCTAACCAACGCTGTTTCCAACATACCCCAAATGCTAGCCATCCCTCCAGCCTACTGCCATGCCAAATATGAACATTTGGATTGTAGTAGTCACACAAATACCTCCAAGTAATCCAACAGTCTGTTTGGCAGTGTCATCTTTTTCCCATTCATCTTGCCTTAACAGCTGAATGAATGGGCTCTCGTGGTGTACCACCCAGCAATTCACAGGCAGAAGAGCAGGGAGCTCACAGCCATAAGAATCCCAGGTCAGTGCTGGGCGACAAGCTGGCCAGTCTAAGCAGACTCCCCTGTCATGGGGGACACCAGAATATTAGAGGAATAAGTGCTGGGCTCTATTTCCTCTACAGGAGGTTTTTCCCCCCCTTTTCAAGCAACATGGCAAAGCTATGGGGAATCACATCTCTACCTTGGAGCACANTTTTTTTTTTCCTGTCCCACATGGAACTACACACAGAGTTTCAAACATGCAGAAATCAATAATGCTATCCTGAATAGCACACGAGAGTCAGTCAGAGAAACCAAGCAACCAGACAGGTGAGGACAAAGCCTCAAGTCAGTCACAGAAATCACTGGAAGTGAAAGTCAGGTGGGAGACCAGGTGAGAGTTTGCATTAGAAATCAGCAACTGGGCTGGTCTGTTAGCTCAGTTGTTTGGAGTGTGGTGTTATAACACCAAGGTCAAGGGTTTGGATTTCCATACTGGCCAGCTGCCAAAAAAAAAAAAAAAGAAATCAGCAACCAGGAGGCTAAGGATGGTGGAGGCTCTTAAGTGTCCAGGAATTGACTTGAGGTCATCTTGGCTGCCGAATGAGTTTCCTGGGTGGGATCAGGCAGAGGACCCCCACTAATCAGTGTAGAGACCAGGGTAGGACCTTCATCTTTCCAAGAAAAGAAGCCTAGTTTCAAGCTGGGCACACCCAAGAGCCAGCACACCCTAAGCTCAGTATACAGATCACTAGCACTAACCACATGAATTGGCCTGTAACTTAGATTGCCTCAGACACAGAGCTGGCTAATTATGAATTTTATTCTTACCACTACCACCTTTTCCCCATCACAGTGAGCAACCATCACCCCCACAGAACTACAAAAGGAGAAAACAACCCCCCTCCCTTCACTGCTTCTTAGAATGATTCCATTTCCATAAAACCTATTAAGAGGGTCCTTTGGGCCATGCTCTGATTGACAGGTTGGAGGGAACATAGATTTTAAATACTTAAAAATTGAGAAGTAACAAATTAAAAAGTTAAGATTTGGTGGGGCAGAATCTGGGAGAATAACCCTTGAGTAAATATTCTTCACATGGCTTGTAAATCATGTGTGTTATGTGATCCTGTCTCCTACCTACTCTGCTTTCTTTTTCTTACCCACAAGTGCTGGAAAACCACATCCATGTTGGGCTGGGATATTGTGTTGCAGAATAGTTTGTGCAAGCACAGCAGAATCGCACAGCATGCACGGCAGATGAGCCGAGCTGGAACTTTGGAATGGCTCTGGGTCTAACCAACGCTGTTTCCAACATACCCCAAATGCTAGCCATCCCTCCAGCCTACTGCCATGCCAAATATGAACATTTGGATTGTAGTAGTCACACAAATACCTCCAAGTAATCCAACAGTCTGTTTGGCAGTGTCATCTTTTTCCCATTCATCTTGCCTTAACAGCTGAATGAATGGGCTCTCGTGGTGTACCACCCAGCAATTCACAGGCAGAAGAGCAGGGAGCTCACAGCCATAAGAATCCCAGGTCAGTGCTGGGCGACAAGCTGGCCAGTCTAAGCAGACTCCCCTGTCATGGGGGACACCAGAATATTAGAGGAATAAGTGCTGGGCTCTATTTCCTCTACAGGTTTCCCCCCCCCTTTTCAAGCAACATGGCAAAGCTATGGGGAATCACATCTCTACCTTGGAGCACATGTCATGGGGGACACCAGAATATTAGAGGAATAAGTGCTGGGCTCTATTTCCTCTACAGGAGGTTTTTCCCCCCCTTTTCAAGCAACATGGCAAAGCTATGGGGAATCACATCTCTACCTTGGAGCACATTTATAAGTGGGGAGTTGTCGTTGTTGTTGTTGTTGTTGTTGTTGGTGGTGGTGGTGTGTGTGTGTGTGTGTGTGTGTGTATGTGTGTGTGTCTTTAGCAAAGGCACTGGGCTCCCCTAGAGAGAAAAGGCAACAAAGAACTGGAGATCAGGAGAGTGGCCCCAGACTAGGCCTCCACACAGTGTCCTGGCACTACCACACTGCCCAGCTCAACACCACTCATATTGTGGTCTACATAAATGGCCTCAAGCTCCATGGAATGGCATTCACATAATCTACAATATGATGATTCCCCTGGAGTTGGACAGTGAAGGCCCAGGCAGGATTAAATCAAGCCAAAGCAATTATCTTCTGGGGTCTTCATACTGCTGAAGTTAACAGGGTCACCAGAAACAGCCCTTTGTATAGTAGGTAGAAAGATGGAGACCCATCATCTCTAAACCTTGTCAGTCCTTGAAGTGAGAGAAAAAAAAAAAAGAGGAAGAAAAATAATAGGCCAAGATGATACTGCCTGTGGAAGCAGTGAGATGGCTTAGGCCCTCCATCGAAGAAAAAGGAAGCCTCTCCTTCAACCAACCTATGCACTGTTACAGCGTGTCTCATCACCTTCTCACAAAGTACAGGACCGACAGTAGTGGGTCAACATTTTTCTTAAAAAGAAAAACAAAACTAACCTCTGTCTTCTTCAGGAGTGAGGTGGGTGATAGAGATGTCCAGTCTAGGACAGTCTGGAACAGTCAAGACCACTTTGCATGTAGCAGCTTATCCATGCAATACTCTTGCTCAAAGGAATCATTAATCGTTAATTCTCTTGGTATTTGTGTTTAGCAAAGATTATAATTTTTTCTCTTTCCACCAGATAGGCCTGAATGGAGGAGCATGTCTAGAACCCCATAGCTCACCTCTAGGTTTCTGTTCAGGTCTATCTCAAATTTCTTGCTATAATTTAAAGAGCACTTAGAGTTTTCACACATGAGTGTCCAAACACACACACACACATTTCCCTGTGTCATCAATGCTCATAGAGCTTTTCTTTGTCCACTTTGCTGCTACTAGTTTGAGAGGTGGAGCAAATGGGACTCAGGATAGAAAGGTTTTGACAGAAGGCAGGAGTGGCCATTAACATCATGAACATGGAGTCCTACCCAGAGACACTGCGGCAGAGGGTCCAGGTCAGTCGAGAAGCCGCACATTCTGTGTAGGAAGGGCTCGTCCAGCATCCATGTTCAATCTGGGCATCCTTCCAGTGCTGATACAGCTTTACTTTATTTTGTTATTAATTTATTTATTTTATTGAAGCATAATTGACTGTACACATCTGTGTGGTACAGTGCTGAATATGAATACCTGTGTGCAATAGGTGATAAAGCTTTATTGATCCCAGTTATTTCCTTGTGAGGTGCTACTTTGACTACCTTGAA